GCAGGTGACAAGCAGTGATGAGCCACAAAGAGTCTGGCTTGATTCTATAAGCTTTATTCTCTCCTGAAGAATTTCTGAAAGCCTTCCAGGGGTGTCCAACTTTTTGGCGTCTCTGGGCCACACAGGAAGAAGTTGTCTTGGGCCACACATTAAATACATTGTGACACACAATCACAAAAACATCTACAATTTACAATTTTGTGTTGGGCCACATTCATAGCCATCCTGGGGCGCATGTGGCTTATGGGCCACAGGTTCGACAGCCCTGCACCTCAAACAAAGGAATGGCATGATCAGATTTGCATCTTAGAAAATTCATTCTGACAGCTCTCCAATGTTACAGGACAATTGGTAAACTGTAAAACCTTTGCAAAGTGGGGATAATGGTGGTGGAAAGAGACATGACTCGGGGTGGGGAACACGCAGTGCAATGTACAGGTGATGTGTTGTAGAATTGTGCACCTTAAACCTATGTAATTTTATTGGTTTACACTTATCCTTTGTGTAAGCCTCTGTAGTGGTTTACAGTTTTAGTGGGGTTTACACAAAGTAACCCCACTAAATTAAATAAAAAAAGAAAAAAGGAAAACCTTTGTAAAGCTCCCAGTTAGCAGAAACAAATGAATTATAGGCCATATTACGTAAAAATCAAAAGCCATCTTGAATGCAAATCTGCTTGCATAAACATTACGTGTATACATATTTAGAGCATTATTTTTATTTAAACAATAGCAATGAAAGTCTTTGAAGAATGATACTCTGATCTGTGAAGCCCAGAATTTGTGTGGCGCAGGACCTTCTGAAAGCAATGGAAGCTGGCCTGCTCTGGTGCAGAGGGGCATCAGAGGTGGGACTCTTTAGAAAACAGGTTCAAACAGCCTACTTCTAGCACCAAATTCAGAACCATCTTCAAATCAAAAAGAGGTAACAGCAAAGTCAGAAATAAAATCTGTAGTTATAAGTTACAGTGGTCCAGCAATATTAAGTTATGTTTGAGTTAATTCTGTTGCTAGTAACCAATTGTTTGAGTGCAAGTGTCTGTCCTGTGGGTATTAATAGCTACTGAGAGTGTACCTCTTTTATTCCATTCACCACTGAGCGTTGAGAACACAAGAGTAAAAACAAGTGTTATCAGTGAGGATGCTCTCAGCTGCAAAACAGAAAACAACTATGGGCTGACTTCGTTTTATTTCACTTTGCCATATTGCACTTCACAGGTGTTGCATGTTTTTACAAACTGAAAGCAAAAAAGAGTATAACTGGGTTTATTGCAGTGGTTTGGACCTGAACCCACAATCCTTCGAGGTATCCTTCTAATCAAACTGGCCTAACAGTAAAGTCCAGAGGCTTTAAGTATAGCCTGACAATAAGGCCCAGCTACATCTTTCCATGGTTCTCTCAGCTCTGTCCTCCTTTCTGTGTCAGCTCAGCAAAACTTAAGCAGTTCTAGGATTCACATCTTTAAGCACATTCTCCAGAAGAGGTTCTCTTCCTCTAAACCTCCTACCAGAGTTTGGGCTTCACTCTAATTGCACCCGCTTATGCCATGTGTTCACTCTTAAGTCAATCACTGTAGCAAGGAGGGCCAGGATTCCACTGATTGGCTTGATCCAACCAAAGTGCACTCATGGGAGCTGAGGATCCAATCATTCCCATCTGAAAGGCTTGGCTGCTTCGTAATGGAAGGGGAGTGGGATGTGCACCAGCAAGCAGCTGAAAATATCTATTTGATTAAAAATTCTCTGGGTCATCCAACAGCCCCTGAGGACAGCAGACGTCAATCCTGTTGGCCATGGATCATAGTTGCTATGGAAAATGAGACTTAACTGCTTTGTACATCACCAAAAGCCCCAAACATAAGGAACACAAGGAAGGACACTATCTACCAAAGGTATTTTATTTGTTATTTTTCACATGAACACTCAAGAACAAATAATAATAACAAAAATAACTCGCAAGGGGGTCAGACATTAGACATAAATAAGGATGCTATTAACATTAAAGAAAGCCTTTGCTGGATGTGGCTGCCCCATGCTTGGGTGTGTATATGTTGATGGCCACAGCTAAGCCTCTGCCACTTTTGAAAGCTGAGACCTTAGTGAAGTCCCTCTGGACTCTGCATCACAGGGCTGGACAACTGGAGCCAGAGCACAACTCCCTTTCTCACCCTCAGCCAGATGGAATGCCTGCAACTTCAGAGAGACTTCAAGCTCTTGCTCCTGAGGGTTTTGTCTTTCCCCTTGTCCTAGGCTCTGAGTCTTGGGTAGGGGATGAATGAGAGGAAATGCCCATTTGCTCATGGAGGAGGGGAATCTGGGAACAAAGGTGTGTCCTGTGTACTTTCTCCTTTACTCATCCTCCCAGTCCAGCTTCCTCCTGCCTCTGTTTCTCCTGCCCTGGTCACATTTTCTCTCCCTGTCTCCCCTACTGACTGGCATTTCAAAAACTCTAGACTGTACCCCATGATGGCCATTTCTAGTTCAAGCCTTCTAATTCACAAAAAGGTCCTGTATCCCATCGGTCCTCCTGAAAAAACAGAGAAACATGTCTTTTTTCTTTCTTCTTGGCGTGAGGCCAGGTCGCAAGTACCTGGCTCTTCAACAGCAATGAAATCCCTACAGCCGAGGGACAGAAGAAGAACCTTAGAAGATGGCACCTCTTCCCATCCCCTGGGATAGCCACAGCTGATGTGCAAGAGTCTCCCAAGATTAGGTTACTTATCTGAAGGCTATCAATTCAAGAACAACCTTTTCCCAGGAGAAAACAAACTTCAGGAACTATCCCCTAGATTAGAAATGGTTATTGTTGCTCACCAGAAAAACAAAACAAAACAAAACAAAAAACCCCTAATCATTGTACTAATTGGAGAAAATCAATTGTCTTATAACTGCGAATAGCATCTAAATGCCTTTAATTTCATAAGTACTTAGCAAACAAGCTGTAGTCTTTGCAAACATTCACAACTTCCATTCAGAGAGGGAAGATGTCAGATGAAAGAAAAATAGCAAAGGCCACATCATCACTGTTGCTCACTCCTCCATCAGTCTCTTAGTCAAAATACAGGCTCATATGCTGGGTTGAGGGCCATGGATGGTTCCATATTCTTACTATTCTAGACGAAAAAGAGAGAAAGGGGGAAGGAAAAGAAAAACTCTTAGAAAACAAGGATTCCAACAGAAACACATGAGAAAATTTAGATTCATAAATTATTAACATTATTTTATTTAACATTATTTGAATAGCATTCTTAAATTAGAACCAGTCATTGTGCTAGATTTTTGTCCTATGAGATAGGAGTCATTTTGTCCATTTCATAGATAAGAAAAAAAAGCCAGAAAAGTCAAATAACTTGTCTGAGATCACACAGCTCATAACAGGAAGGGCAAGGCTTTGAACCAAAGTCTGTCTGACTCTAAATCTCACACCTACTCTACCACTAAAGGGATCTCTTGCAGGGGTGTCCAACTCGCAGCTCATGGGCCACAATCATGTGGCTCAGGATGGCTATGAATGTGGCCCAACACAAAATTATAAATTTACTTAAAACTTTTTTTTTGCTCATCAGTTTTCATTAGTGTTCTGTGTATTTAATGTGTGGTCCAAGACAACTCTTCTTCTTCCACTGTGGCCCAGGGACACCAAAAGGTTGGATACCCCTGCTAGAAGTTATACTCAAAGTAAGGGCTCCATGGATAAGGAGGGAAGGAGGTTTTTAATGAGTTTGGCGGTTAAGGTTCACCTTAGGTGGGGCTGACAGGTTCTCCCACAGGACATGCATTCATGGCTATTGCTGGCTAGACCCTACATGTGATCCAATGTGGTACATATTGTGCAAGTCACCCCTTTGTACACACATGAATCATTTAGACTTCCTTGACTAAAGGAAAGTTTATATGCAACATAACCATAAGATTTTAAAATGAAGATAGGTCAAGTTTTCCGAAAGTTCAAAGTGTGTTAAGATCCTTAAAGGGCAGTGTGCTCACCTGGGAAGCCTGCAGAGATGAAGTGTGTACACAGAGACCTCGGAGCCTGCACCGGCCCTCCTCAGTCCCTTCCACCAGCCTCTGTGTCCCCCTGTTCCTTTATCCTCTTTATTTTCTACTCTTCTGGGTGTGCCTCACTCTTACCTTTCCTTCTTTCCCTTTCTCCCTTTTTCTTTCCTTTTTATTTTTTAAAAATTGGTTTTCTCCTTGCTTTCTTTTTCTTGATTCCTCTCTGGCCCCCTGTCTCCTCTTCCGTCACCATCTCTCTTTCCATCCATCTCAGTTCCCTTGTCACTCTCCCCATGAGAGTCACCTCTTACAGGCTTCCTCCTTTCAGCATTTCCTCTGGGTCAATTGCACTGAGCAATGCCAGCTACAATTATCCAATACAAATATAATGAGTACAACCTATTCTCCTTGACAGTCCTTTCATGGGATATAAACAGTCACCAGCCTAGTTTCCCTTGCCCCTTTAGTAACTGATCAGGTGCCTTAACGTGGGGTGGGGGAAGAAAAGGAGAAGACTTGCATGGGCTGCTGGAAAGGGTCCACAGAGCTGTCTTCACACACATCAATCCTCCTCAGGCCTGACCTACATCCTAGTTACACAGCCTGGGGATTGTAACTCAACTCAACACAACCATTGGAGTCATAGCCATAAGAGCTTGTATTTACAAGGGACCTTACAGGAATCTAAAATAAGCTGCTGCTTGTCTTTTTTTTTTTAAACAACTAAGGACATAGCTGGCTAAGGAATTAAGTGATATAGCAAAAATCACATAGATGGTCAGTGTTAGGGACCAAGTGGCGGCTATTTACAATAGCAGAGAGCTTCTTCTGCTCTTTCTCTTTTGATAGAAACAAACAAACACACAAAACAAAAACAAAACAACAACAACAACACAAAAAAACTTGCAAGGCAGCCAGGACTTGGTGAAGATACAATAGCCAGGTCCCTACTCTACCTTGGGGCATTTCACTCAAAAAAAGCCAAACAGAAGCCCACTGACTTACCTAATAGTCAGGGCGGGGTATGCTTCTAGGATTTGCGTAGGGATTCTGCATCCCACCATCTCTGGGGACTGTGGATGTGATTTTAGGGAAGATGCTCCTTTGTGCTGGAGAGCTGAAGCCTGTTGTTTGCTGCAGTCTCAGATTCTGAAAGTCATTCTCAATCAAGTTCTGTTCTTCAATGTCTTTTGTTTTCTTTGATCTGCAATTAGTAACAGGGATTAGGATGTGAAAATGGCAGGTGGTTTCTGAAAGCAAATGTTAATACTCTTTTCAAAAAATGCTTTAAAATTTGGGAATATTTTCAAATTTACACGTGAGTTACCAAAAAAATATTACACAGAGTTCTTATACATCATTGCCTGGGTTCTCCAATTCTGAACCACTTAAGAATAAGTTGCAGGCCTGATGACCTATTACCTATAATATCTCATTACTTCATTCAGCATAGATTCCCCAAGTTTAAAGACAGTCTCTTCATAAGCTTTGTGTAACCACCAAAACCAGAAGGCTAATGTTGATCAAATATTACCATGTAATTCCACCAGTCCATGTAAATTTTGCTAATGATGTTAGTATGCCTGAGTGTGCTTTTGAATTATTTATGGAAATAAAAATAGGAGTCAAAGAGAAAAGGTGATTTGTGATATAATTTCACATTCAAGGAAAGTCAATGTCTATAGAAGTACCTCAGTGAATGAAACAAATTTAAGACATAAAAGTGTTTTTTTTGTGGCCTTTATTATATTGAAGTATGTCCCCTTTATTCCCACTTTGCAGAATGTTTTTATCATAAATGGATGCTGAACTGTATCAAATGTTTTTTCCACATCTATTGATATTATCATGTGATTTTTTGTCTTTGCTTTTGTTTATGTGATGTATTACGTTTATTGATTTGTGAATATTGAACCATCCTTTCATCTCTGGGATGAATCCCACTTGATCATGGTGGATGATCTTTTTAATGTGTTGCTGGATGAGATTTGCCAATATTTTGTCAAGGATTTTAGTGTCTGTGTTCACCAGTGATATTGGTCTGTCGTTTTCTTTCTTGGTTGTGTCTGTATCTGCTTTTGGGATTAGGGTAATGCTGGCTTCATAAAAAGAGTTTGGGAGCCTTCCTTCTTCTTGGATTTTTTGGAATAGTCTGAGAAGGACAGGGGTTAGCTCTTTCTTAAATGTTTTGTAAAATTCTACGATGAAATCGTCTAATCCAGGATTTTTGTGTGCCGGGAGTTATTTGATGACTGCTTCAATTTCCTCAGCTGTTATCAGTCTGTTCAGGCTTTCTGCTTCTTCTTCATTCAGTGTGGGAAGGTTATATTTTTTCTAGAAATTTGTCCATTTCATTGAGGTTTTTAAATTTCTTGGCATATAATTGTTCATAGTAATTTCCTATAATCCTTTGTATTTCCGTGGTATCAGTTGTTATTCCTCCTCTTTCCTTTGATATTATTTATTTGGGTCCTCTCCCTCTTTTTTCTTGATGAGTCTGCTGAAAGGCTTGTCAATTTTGTTTCTTTTCAAAGAACAAGCTCCTGGATTTGTTGATCCTTTGAATTGTTCTTTTAGTTTCTAGATCATTCAATTCTGCTCTGATCTTGATTATTTCCTTCCTTCTACTTGTTCTGAGCTTTGTTTGTTGTTGTTTCTCCAGTTCTCAAAGATGTAGGGTTAGGTCATTTATTTGAAATGTTTCTGTCTTTTTTAGGTAGGCCTGTATTGCTATGAACTTCCCTCTCAGGACTGCCTTTGGTGTGTACCATAGGTTTTGGACTACTGTGTGTTTATTTTCGTTTGTTTCCAAAAACTTTTGATTTATTCTTTGAACTCATTATTGACTCAGTCATTGTTTAATAGCATGCTATTCAGTCTCCATGAGTTTGGATGTTTTTGAGTTTTTTCCTTGAGGTTGGTGTCCAGTTTCAAGCCATTGTGATTCAAGAAAATGCTTGTTATAATTTCAATTTTCTTAAATTTTTTGAGGCTTGCTTCATGTCCTATCATGTGGTCTATCTTTCAAAAAAACGTGTATTTTGCTTCTTTGGGATGAAAGTTTCTATATATGTCAGTTAAGTCCATTTGATCTAATGCATCATTCAGTTCCACAGTATCCTTGTTGATGTTTTGTTTGGAGGATCTATCCATTGTTGACAGTGGGGTGTTAAAATCCCCTACTATCAGTGTGTTGCTGTTTATATCTTCCTTGAAGTTGTCCAAGATTTTCCTTATGTGTTTGGGTGCTCCTATGTTGGGTGCATATAGGTTTACAATGTTTATGTCTTCTTGATGGATTCTCCTTTGAGTATTATGAAGTGTCCTTCTGGGTCTCTTTTTATGGCTTTTGTTTTGAAATCTATCTTGTCTGATATAAGTAATGCTTCCCCTTGCTTTTTTTTCCCTCCCTGTCCATTTGCTTGGAATATTTTTTCTATCCCTTTACTGTCAGTCTGTGTAGGTCCTTTGTTCTGAGGTGGGTCTCTTGTAGGCATCATATGTGTGAGTCATGTTTTCTTATCCATTCAGCTACCTTGTGTCTTTTGATTGGAACATTTAGTCCATTTACATTTAAAGTTATTATTGATAGGTACTCACTCACTTTTTTCTCTTTGTACCTATGTTCCTTTCTTTCTCACTCTTTTTCTTCATCTTCTTAAAACAGGCCCTTTAGCATATCTTGCAGTGCTGGTTTGGTGGAGGTGTATTCTTTTAGCCTTCTTTTGTCTGGGAAACTCCTTATTTTGCCTTCCAGTTTAATTGAGAGCCTTGCTCGTTAGAGCAGTCTTGGTTGTAGACCTTTGCTTTTCATTCCTTAGAATATTTCTTGCCATTCCCTTCTGGCCTGTAATGTTTCTGTCAAGAAGTCAGCTGCTAGCCCTACCAGGGCTTCCTTGTATGTTACTATCTGTTTCTCCCTTGCTGCCTTTAGGATTCTCTGTCTTTGATATTTGCGTTTTAATTATGATGTGTCTTGGAGTGGGCCTCCTTGGGCTCCTCTTGAATGGGACCTGCAGTGCTTCCTGGACTTGTGTCACTTTTTCTCTCCTCAAGTTAGGGGAGTTTTCCATCATTACTTTTTCAAACAGGTTCTCTATCCCTTCCTCCTCTTCTTCTCCTTCTGGTATCCCTACTATGCGGAATTACGTTTCAGGTTGTGCTGCATTTCCCTCAATGCCTCTTCATTCTTTTTAAGTCTTTTTTCATTTTCTTGCACTTTCTGGGAGCTTTTTTCTACCCTGTCCTCCAGCTCACTGATTCTATCCTCTGCTTCATCTAGCCTGCTTTTGATTCCTTCTACTGTGTTGTTCAATTCAGAAATTGTATTCTTCATTTCCTCTTGTCTCTTATTGATATTTCTATGTCCTTTTTCATGGTGATATAGTTTGCAATAAGTTCCTTGTAGTGTCCCTTGTAGTTTTTGGTAATTCCCTCTGAGCTCACTGAGTTCATTGAGCTCACTTAGAACCATTGTTTTGAACCCAATATCTGATAGTTTACTCGCCTCTAGTTTGTTTAGTTCTCTTTCTGGAGATTCCTTCTTTCCCTTCAACTGCAGGGTGTTTCTTTGTCTTCCCATTATTTGTGAGACATGTCCTTTTTGCTTCTGCTTCTTCAATTGATCTGTCTTGATTTCCTGACTTTGTGGTGTGAACTTCTATGGTAGGAGACTACTGTTTTTTCTTCTGGACCTGCCTGTGGATGTCAGATGTTGACCTTGTCTGACCTTAGGCAGTGTGTTTGAGACTTCCAGGAATCTACCATCTGTAGGTGTCTCCTTCAGTTGTAAACATAGTCACTCTACACTCAGCAGTCCTCAAGGTATAAAAGTCTTAATACCTTTCACTATTGGCCTCTCGAGGATAAGCGCTCAAAGTCAAATGAAAGTTCTTGCAGATGAGGGAGGCACATGCTCCCACTAACTCTGATCATGACCCTATTCTTCCTTCTGTCACACAGACCATGGCCCGCTCCTGCAGTGCCCTAGGGTATAGGAGTGGCATGTGGGGCGGGCTACATCCACGATGCCCACAGGGCCCTCATGGGGTGAGAGTCACATACCCTCAGTCACACTGAGAATGTGGTAAAGAAAGAACTATTCACCCTGGACCTTCATGGCCAGCCTAGCCAAAAACAGAGTTCTTGTCCTTTGACAACACTCCTGCCTAAGATGCCTGAGGAGAGGCTTCCTTCCTTTCCAAATGGGCAAGAAATAACTCTTGGGGTGTGTTCCCAAGAACCATGAATCTGAGGTCAAGCTCAGAGCAAAGAGAGCTCTGTGGCAGGAAGGAGGAGGTGAGAGGCATGGTTGTCCCAGGGTCACAAGTTTCTGCAGCAGCCTTTGACCCAGGATGGAGAGACAATCCTCCCAAGAAAGGAGGAACAGCATTGCTTCATAATTGGAAGGGTCTGGCCCTCTCCCTGGGAAAGGGAAAGACACATTTCCTGTTCCCAGCTTCCTGTCTTTATAACGGTCCATGGGGTAGAGTTACTAGCTTACTAAAATTTTTAAAAGAGGTAGAAGCAAAATATTTTAGGAACCTAAAATCTATTTATCCTCTCACATTATAGTGCAAAAATACATATTTGCAAAAATATAAGATACAAACTAAATGTTATTTTTATAAAGTAACTTGTTTTTTTAATCAAACTGGATCCCCACTTGGCACATTTAGAATGGAATACATAATAGTATTCTCTCTCCCTGTTAATGAAGGGTACTTTAGGATATCTAAATATCTGTTGAATAAATTAATGGACCCTACTTCAGCTCTTAATTAAGACATCTAGCTGAGAAATGGCCATGCAGAGAAAATGTTTCTACTTAAATAAAACCAAAGGTGCTCCAACTGAGGCTGATTTTTGATCATTTGAAGCAAGATTCTGGGGAAGGGGACTGATATTATGAAGATGACATTTGACAACATCAATGGAGTTAAATACTGTTAATGAAGAGTTTTTATGACATAAGAAAATGATTGCTATGCCACATTATAGTGTTAAGCAAAAATAACCTAAACAATTTTTTAAAACAAAAAGGATACAAAATTATGTATATAATATCCTTTAAAAAGATAGAGAAAAACCTGGAAGGATATATTTCAAAATGTTAGTTGCCTCAGAGAGGTAGGTTGGTTGGGTGATTCTTCTTTCTGCTCCTTTACACATTTCTCTCTTTTCCAGACTTTTATTCAGTGATCATGTAGAGCTTATATAATGAGAAGGTAAGACAAAAACTCAGTGGTTTTCGAGAAGCCTCATCTTACTTCCTTTCTCTTGCCTGGGAAAGACTGCGTGTGTTTGGGAACCAGAGTGTCCTGCCAGTGGCGCTGAGCCCCAGGACAGGGACATTTCCAGACCATACCTCATGAAGATCACTGCAATCACCATGCCAAGAATGAGGATGCCTGCAATGGTGCCCACGACAGTGAGGATTAGCTGAAAGTCTGAAAGAGAGCAGAGAAGAGTAGGCACGGTATCCACGAGCAGGCCCCCACTGACTGTCTTCTGCACAGATACATGTATACCTATGGGCTCCTGGTTGTGAAGACCAATGGCTCTCATCTCTGACCCCTCCAGGGCCAGGTGGGATGGGTGGCTCAACTCCTTAAACCCTCCCTCCCCACCTCCAAACCCTAACTCTGTCTTCAGAACCCAATCAGAAGAGGCAGCCTTGCCAGATAAAAGGCCACACATGCAAAGGAGGCCATGGTGACAGAGCTTTCCTGGGCTTCGTGGGGACTGGGATCACAACCCAGGACCACACTCTCTCCTGAGCTCTGTTGCCTTTGCCTGCCCACCGCCCCTGACCTGGAAGATAAGCTGGAGGAACTTTAATTGCCACTAATGGCAGAGCTGGGTGATGGCTGACAGCATCGGTGAGGGAAGAGCCTGGAGGTTCATTACCACCCATCCTCCTTCTCTGGCTCTGCTGTCTAGGACTAGTGAGAGCTTGAAATATGGCTATGAAATAGCCTGTAAGTGTAACAGACACAGTGGATTTAAAACACATTTGAAAAAACTGTAAAAGATATTATGAATAATTCTTATATTGATTACATATTAAAGTGATAATAGTTTTGATATGTTGAGTGAAGTAAAATGTTATTAAAATCAATTTCACCTGTTTCTTTTTACATTTACAAATTTACTTAGACTTTTAGATTTTGAAATTAAATATGAAGCTTACATTATATTTCTATTAGATAGTGCTACTTTAGACAATTTGTCTCTCTGCGACATGACTGTCCTGTGTGCCACCTCCAGCAAGGATCTGTGGGGCCATGGGCCTGAAGTCTGGAAAATACCTCAAAGGTCATCCAGTCCAAACCTCTCATTTTATCAGTGTGGGCGCTAAAAGCCCAGAAAGAAGAAATGATTTAGCAAACCCAGCCTCGCCACAAAATACAGTAGAAATTGAGAGCATTTCTCATCACTAACTTTGGGGCTGGCTGGGAGACCAACAGTAATATTTCCTTCATCTTGGAGCACTGGTCTTTTGTTCATTAGGTTAAATTTTAAATATAAAATAATTTAAAATATAAAGTTAGCATTGTCCCAATCTGGTGGGTGTGGGGCATGGGAGAAAATAAAGCAATTGAATTTGCAACAATATATATCAAACTACTAAATAACTCTGAAACAAAGAGATTTGAATATTTGAATGTCTAATTTCTAGTTCTGCTCTCCCATGACCACAAACCTTTTCAAAACATACGAGTCTTTTATCCTTTCTAGTAGCAGAAAATGCATATTTAACCTAATATAGATAATGAACAGAACATTCGGAAGCCCTGGGCTGACTGGGCACTTGTCTAAGGTGCCAGCCCACCTGTTGGGCTGAGTTCTGTGAATTCCTATAACAAGGGTACTTCTGCCTGTGACCCAGGTGCAGGACCCAGAAGACAAACTGAAGGCAGATTTCCTCCCTCTTCATAAAGGGAACCAGAGACTTCAGGGGACCAAATTAAATTCTGAGTGTGATTAATATTTTTCACATGTTTAACAACAAAGCAAGACTCTTATACTCACTGTCTTCACAGTTGACTCCTTGGTAACCAAATGCACACCTGAAATACAATGCATAATAGGAAACCATGGTAAAGAGCATATGGGAGCATGTCAGAGTTCCCACCTAACCTCCACGCCTTCCTTTCCATATTTCTTTCATTCTCTCCTCCCTTGTGCCTTCTCCTCTTTCTCTTTTCTTCCTTCCAGTCCCATTCTCCAGGTCAACATCTTTCATGAAGCTCTAGAAGGTCAAGGGTGGGGGTGGTGGTTACACAATCCCATATGGTCTTTTTTTCTCCTGATCGAACACTCCATCTCCTGAGCTCCAGGAATACTCAGCACTTCAGGCAAAGCTGAACCCCAGAGACATGGAGCATAGTGGGACCCTCTCAGCCTGCAAGGCCACGTGGCTCTGCCACTTATTTGCTGCCCTGTGAGCTGGGACAAATTATTTATCGTCTCTGAGTTTCTGCCCCTGAAAATGGGGAACTGATACATTTCTGACAGTGTTGTTGTGTGAAAGATGTTATCTAGTGTGATTCCTGGCACATAGAGAATGTACAAAAACTACTGATGATGATGATGCTGGCAATGATGATGCTGACGACAGTGGTGATGATGCTCTGTACATACTAACTTCTGCCAGAATGCCAGGTTCCTGACCATAAGGCCATGTTGCCAGCTCTATCCTTTCTATCCTTAACCCCATACATAAGTTCCAGCTATAGCAAGATAAAAAAGGAATGATTTCTCTTACGCTTGACATTTCCCGCCATCATCCTTCTTGTAGCCCGCCAGGCACACGCAATCAGAATTCCCATCGTCCTTCACCAGGCATTGCATATTGTGTTTTGCATCGCAGGCAGGAGGACACTCTGGACTTAACGCTTAAAAACAAAGTGGTTTCTGGGTAATTTTCAGAAACAACCTCTTCAGCCCAAAATGATATGTCACAGAATACAATTTTTTTCTCATGCTTTTTTCTAAGTAAAATGAGGGTCTCATTGGCTGTGCATGTTATGCCCCCTGCGAATGCTCATGGGCTATCTCACCGGCCCGTGGCCAAGGCAACACTCCATGTCCATGTGTCTAAAGCCAAAATTCATATCCCTCAGAATCTGAAAGGCACATGGACTCTTGAGCAATAAAATGTTTATTCTGCAAATGTGAAAGGAGAAAGGGTAGGTGTTGTGAAGAACATTTAGAAGCAGGTGGAATACTTACGAACACAAAAAGCAACCTGTGCGTTAGGTCTTCCAAGCCCTGGTTTGCATTTACACTGAATACCATTGCTGCAGTCATCTTGCTCATTTTTTTTTTCACAACCATAATAGTCACACAGATCTTGCGCTGAAGGGTACAAGTAATTCAAAAATATGTTCAGGAAGACGAGTGTGGATAAAGCAACTTTTGAAAGTCCTCCACTCTATTGTTGTTATAATTGCCCTTTAATAGGTTTTAGGATTTAAAAAATGAAAATCTGGGATTCTAAAATCCAACTTCCCAATCCCTTCATCCATGACTATTTCCTTACATTATTCAGTTCAAATTAATTCAATCCAAAGCAGTGCTATTAGGTTCAAGTTCAAGATCTCTTTCGCACCTATCTCTCTGCTGGATTCTACAAAGGACACAGTAGCTATATAACTTTTGGGTCCCATTTTTTTTAGAGTTACACATTTGAGCCCACAGAGAATTGTTGCTTCAAGAAACTCATAATTCAGATTTTTAAGTACAATGGGAATTCAGGGGCTCAAGTAGCTAAAGGTAATATCATGGAGGAGATGGGGATTGGACTATCTTGAAAAATAGGGAAAATTTAAACACTGAAAGGAGAGGCAAAGCCTTTCTAAGCAGAGTAAACAAGGCATGAAAAGAAGGAAAGAATTGTAATAGTGGTGGTGTATCTGGGTGGGGAAAAGGCAGTGTGGTAATGTGGAAGAAAGAGAATTCTTGGCTGTACCATTTATGGGCAATGGGCTCTCTCTGTTTGATCATCTGAGTTTTGGTGGGTCCAAGTTCCCTCAACCTATAAAATGGGGCTAATAATTCTTACATGATTGTTGTGAGCATTGAATGAACTAATGCAAATGCAAGCCCACTGCAGGAGACTCAACAAATAATCATTCATTTGCTCATTCATAGGTATAGCAGGGTTTGAATGCCAGGCTAAGGACAGGGACTTGAATCCTACAAGCCTGGGAATCCATTGGTAGATTTTGAGCAGAAGCATAGCATGAGAAAGTAATCTTTTAAGAATATTAGTTTAGAATAGATAAAGAAGTAGTACATATTTACAATGGAAAATTACTTGGTCATAAAAAGAATAAAAATCTTGCTATCTGTGACAACATGAACAGACCTAGAGGACATAATGCTAAGTGAGATAAGTCAGAAAATGAAAGATAAATACTGTATGATTTTGCATATACCTGGACTCTAAAAAACAAAATAAACAAACAAAACAGCAACAAACTCATAGATATGGAGAACAAATTGATGGTTGCCAGATGGGAGGGAGATTGGAGGAATAGATGGAAAAAATGAAGAGATTAAGAAGTACAAATTCCCAGTTATAAAAATAGTCACAAGGATGTACAGTACAACACAGGGCACGTAGTCAATTATATTGTAATAACTATGTATGGTGTCCAATGGGTACCAGACTTAATGGAGTGATCTCTTCATAAGGTATATAAATGTCTAATTACTGTTGTACATCTGAAACTAATATAATATTATATTTCAACTCTAATTTAAAAATAAAATTTAAAAAGAATGTTGGTCTAGAAGCAGGTCAGAAAGCATTCAGAATAAAAAGATGAATCTGAAAATAGATTAGTGGTGAGAGAATAGGAGGAGGCAGAACAGTTATGTGGTTACTCTCTTCTAAACATCCCAGACCTGTAACAAACCTTTTTTCATCCCCTACTATTTAAAAATGCCTCCAATTAAAAGTCTAGAGTAAAAGATTCTACAGCTTTTCACACAGAAAAGAGAATCTGTCTTTGCAGCAGAAGCAAAAAGCAGGGAAAGGTGTTTTTTTCCCTAACAGTTCTGAGCCTCTCCCTTCCCTTTGCTGGGTGTTTCATGTTTTTGTGACCACCTCTAACCTGCGTCATTTGGAAATTTGTTAATGTATTTACAAGTGTATGCCTGGTCTCACAGTGGAGAGATGTTGAGAGGAGTTGTCAAAGGAGAGCAAGTCTCAGAGATGAGGCCAAATGGTTTTGAGTATGCCAGGGCTTAGAGCCAAGGCAATTACTAAGGAGAGCCAAAATGAGAGAATTGTACCGGGGACCCCAACTTTATCTTGAAGAACGCACTGGTTATTTTCAGCTGGCAACCATGCTGAGTCAGTCCCCCTGCTGATGGGGTCCCTCAAACTTCCTCACACTTGCTGGAAGTCTCATTTAGCCAAAAGCAGAGTGTATGACAAGGTTTGTCTTGCCTTGCAGACAATTCCATCTTTCAGGGAGTAGAGGTTCTGACTACATGAATTGCTACTCTGCACCAATTCTGACCCAAGGAGAAATAGATTGATGGGTAGAAGTGATGGGTCCCTTGGAATACAAGAAATAAGTAATAGCCAGGAGGATTAGTTTGACAGAATAAATATTAAAATGTTCAGAAAGGGAAAGGTGTAATTCTGAGGCATGAGGCTCTGGAAGGTGAAAATAGTTCAAGAAAGTCAGAAGATCTGAAAATGTCATTCTAACTGTGCAGCTGCTAAATGAGCTGTAAAAACAAAAAAAGTAGGAAGAGGGTCTGGTAATTTAAGAAACTGCCATTGTTTGCAAAGGAAGGTGTCAAATAAGACATAAACAAAATATAGAAAGAAGGCCCTATACCCAAAGACAGAATATTAAAAATGTGGCAGGGAAAGTCTAGAGCCCCAAGTGAGCTCAGGTTTCCCACATAACCCAAAATAATGACAATAAAATCCAACAACAAAGAGCAAAGGGGTAAAGTGGAAAAATGGGCAAATGAATGAAGAGGGGTGTGTATGTGTTTTCCATACTAGGGGGCCTCCTGGCAAAGCAAGGCCTGGTTGGTGTAATGTTTGTGGATAAGATGAAAAATAGAATGGCTCCACAACTGTCTTCCCAGGCTCTTCTGCCGGGAAACAATACTTAGATGGAAAAATGTTGGACACTGCTAAATGGACTGCAGCCCAAGGAGAGAGAACAGTACAGGGGAGCCCCCATCTTTTGTGATAGAATTTTAAGTGTCTTATCACAGAGCATTTACATCCCAGGTCCTGAGAGAATAGTGAGACTCTTTGTGAAAACTTCAAGAAAAAAGAAAGGTGCTGAAAAACTATAAATGAACAGGATTTGTTTATATTTTTAGTGAGAGAAGTAAGTTTTGCACACTAGGCCAATGATGTTATAATCATTAAAAAGTAAAAATTTAAGAGACTAAAGAAAGAGTCTTAGAAGGATCAAAAAGAAGGATGAGAGAGGCAGGAAGGGGATCAAGAGAATGGTGGATGGAGGCCCAGGGAGAAGAGGACTTCAGGAGGGGAAGGATACCAGTATCAAATGCTACAGAAAACTCAAGTCAGTTTTGCCTTATTAGGTGCCTTTGGATTTGGCAACCAGGACTGAGAACCAGGTGCACAAAGCTGCCACCAGGGCTGGTCGTAACAGGTATCCCTGAGGCAAGGAACTTCTGATGACTGCTCTAATGGTGTCAATTTACTTATGCCTTCCTGTATCCATGCATCCCCTTTGGTAGGGCCTGCCAGACTGTGCTTGGTCAAGCGAATTGCTTTGGCCATCAGGACAGCTGTACATGTGACGTAAGCAGACACTTGAGAAATACCTGTGCTTTGAAACTTACCCTCTTGTTGCTTTTGAAACCCTTTAGGATAGCCTGCTGGAGGGTGAGAGACCAGGTGGAGCAGAGACAAACCATCTAGCTGAACCATCGTAGATTAGTCAGCTCCCAGCCGACCCACCCAGTAGCTAACAGCAATTGCTTAAGTGAGCCCAGTGGAGATTGGCCAAGCCTGGCCTTGATCAGCAGAACTGCCCGGCTGAGTCCTGTCCAAATTCTGACCCGCAGAATGATGTCATTGCAATAAATAAATAGGCCACTAAGTTTTGGGGTGGTCTATAACGCAGCAAAAGTGAATTGTTACAGTTATGCTGTGGGCTTGTGTGTCTGCCTAAAGGCGAAGCAGTATAGGTAAAATGAATCATTTGGAAAGCTATAACTTGGGATAAAGCTCTCTCATTTCACCTTGCTTCATCTTTCCTTGTCCAGAGACCATTTGTCCAAGACAGCCTTCTAGACAGAGAAACAAACTGGTTAGTTTGATGACTAGGGAGATGGTTGGAAAGGAGTAGAAGCCAAGTGAGAGAAGAGAGGGCAGAAGAATGGACTGGAAAAAGGAAACTTGAAGACACCTATTGATTTGGTTATTCAGTTCTTCTTACCCTCTTCTTACATATGATGAAAATATTTACAAAAAGGTAGGTAGGTGTTTAGATAAACTTTGAATGAAATTATTTAGTACTTACTAGTATACTTTGTAATGTCAGTAGAGCCGTTGATTGCCTCGTTAATTGCAGTCAATACGGTCGTCTCATTTTGCTTTGTCCCTTCTGCAAAAATGTTTACTACTGCTACATCCACAGCCTTGTCACCAGCACGCATTTCAGATCTTGCTGAAGCAGATATTCTAAAAATGAAATGAATTTATCACTTGATGAACTAAATTCAAGCATCAACAAATTGGTCTTTGAACCTCTCAAATTTCCCAGTTCTAATCCTGATCAACAGATATATCCACAATTGGGGGCCCAATATGGAGGACTTAGCTTGCAATAAGATGGCAACTTGTAGGCCCAGAGATCTCTATTCAATGTGTTCTCAGAGGAAATCTACAGCTAAAACAATGTCCTCTTGGGGGAAAATTGTGAACTATTATTTTAAGGATCTAGGAGTCTAGAACTAACCAGAAATAGAACAAGTAACATCTGAAATAGTAACTTATCACTTTCTGTAGAAAATCAAGAGTAAGTCTCTCACTGGGCTGTTAAACCTCAGAATTGTACTTAGAGAGAGAGGGGTATGTGTTCCTCCCTGTGCACAGAGAGCAGTAAGCAACCATGCAGAGTCTGGATCACTCTCAGAAAGGGCCGGGAAGTCAGCTGGCAAAGTGGGTAAGGGATTGGGCCTGGGTACACATGACCCAGAGGAGAACTGGAACAGGGAGAGGTGAAGCTGTGGGGAGCATGAGCACATGATACCAAATCATATCACCAAATGCATAGTATCTGCTATGTAAGACTCTCTCTAATCAGCACTGCAGTTTGGAGCCCTAAGAATAGCTGGGCCAACTTCTAACCCTTTCATTGACCCAAAGGAATCAAATAATACAACCACTGAGAAAAAAAGAAAAGGACTTTTAAACTCCCTCTCTATCTGATTTGTGGCTGTGTATTTTTAAGATTCTCGATATACTTTTCCTGTCCACCTTTTTCTCTCTACTCCATTTTGACTTTTGAATGAATACGGAAGCTCAAAAACATAGCCAGCCTACTTGGGAAATGTTTACAGTCACATTGATTCTTCATAACAATCAGCATAATCCGAAACATTAACCAAATTCCATTTTTAGGAATGATCACCTCAGAAGGGAGTCCACATAAATCTCAACACCAAAACAAACAAACAAACAAACAAAAAAACCACACCCAAAACCCCCAAAACAAAAAACAAACAAAAAAAATCCAATTTAAAAATGGGTGACCTGAATAAGCACTTCTCCAAAAAGGACATACAGATGGCCAATAGACATATGGAAAGATGCTCAGCATCACTAACCTTCAGAGAAATGCAAATTAAAACCACAATGAGATATCATCTCACACCTGTCAAAACAGTTATCATCAATAAATCAACAAACAACAAGCACTGGTGAGGATGTGGAGAAAGGGAAACACTTTTGCATTGTTGGTGGGAATGCAGACTGGTGCAGGCACTGTGGAAAGCAATATGGAGTTTCCTCAAAAAAGTAAACATGGATCTGCTGTTTGACCCAGCAATCCCACTTCTGGGAATATATCTGAAGGAACCCAAAACACTACTTTGAAAGAACATAAGCATCCCTATGTTCCTCACAGTTATTTACAATTGCCAAGATACAGAAGCAGCTCAAGTGTCCATCAGTAGATGAGTGGATAAAACAATTATGGGACACTGAGCTCAAGGTTAAAGGTTGCCCCTGGACACTCCAGGCTCTCTTTTAGTAACTCCAGAAGGACAGAAGGAGAGCCACGACTTCAGGGAACTCCCCAAACGACACTGTGGGACCTGCTCTCCATCACACTTGCAGGGTCCCATATTCTGGAAGGGAAATAGATGGGAACTAACACACGTTGAAAGCACTTTGTGCAGGGGAATCTTTCAAATGTTATCTCATTTATTTTTCCCAAAGTTCTAGGAAAGTCGATCAGATTATCCCAGCTATATGGATGAGGTAACAAAAGTTCAGAGAGGTTAAAACAATTGCCCATTCATTCAGTGAGAAGGTACTAAGGCCAGGATTCAAGTACAGATTTGGCTGAAGCCATCACACCTCGCTGTTCCTGTGTTACCCAGTGGTGCTCAAAGCATGACCTCTCTGTTGTCCACTACACCAAACCGAATGCCCTGAAACAACGCCTAGCCCTCCAGCAGCTGTCCACTGTGAATCTTCACATTCAGAGCCTCTGCATTGGGGCCCAGCCTCTCTGCCTGCTGCCTGCTCCTTGCCACGTGGCACTGTGCCCCTCAGTAGTCTGCCTGATGGTCTCCTGCCTGCCAATCACACTTGCCCTTCATTCACCATCAAGCTCAAAACTCACCACCTTCAGGTTGCCTTCTTTGAATTTATATGTATAAATACACCCTGTATCTTATTTCACAAAGAATTTGACAAAGCTTATAAAGATAGGTGCAATAATAAAACCATAAAATATGAATGCATTAGGACAGCTTTTTCTGCACAACTTCATTTGTCTTAAACTAGAGCGTTCTTTCTTCAAGTTGTAGCACTTGTATGTTAAGGTGCCTCAGAGAAGGCTGAAATAAAACTGCTAACTTCTTAATAATCCTTTGCCTCTGTGGGTCCCTAAATAGCATTCAGCACTGATCATTGTATATGGTATGCTCAATGAATGCTTGTTCTTACTGCAGTGAGAGCTCACTACTGGCCCTTTTGAGCCACATGTGAGATTTGGGTGTTAACTCCCTCACGTCCTCCATATGAGGGAAGAGATGACCATGAGCTACTCATTCTCCTCCTGGCTCCCTGGAATGCATGTTCTAGAGGTTGGCCAGGTGTGGTTTGTAGTCAAGGGATCAAACCAATCAAACTGATCCAGGTGATGCACTGGACCATGTGTGCAAATTGCTGAATAGGCAGTCACAGGCAGTGTCTTGCTATCCCCAGGCTACACTGCCCATCCATACCAAGGTTGGTGTGACATCAGACTAACCACTTCTTCCTGACTTGTGATTTACCCCCAGAGGGCCATAGTGCTGCACAGGGAACTCAAGGGAAGGTGAGAAGTTAAGCAAATGCACACCTGCCTCCGAAGTACCCCATTGATCGATAGCAAACTTACCTTGCTTTCTGAATTACAGTCTGTCCATAATCAGAAGCTTTAAATGTATTTTCAAACTGTGGAAGAGAAGAACAGATTTAAAAACAACTACAAGTCGGAGCGGGGGCGGGTGGAGAACATGGTACTGTATTTAGGTCTTAACATAAATATATTTCTATATTCCTGTATATAAATAAATATGGTTCATCACAGCAAATTGTTTATTCTTGACATGCTCTCTAACAACTTCCGGTAATTTTTGCTGTAAAATAGTAAGAATTTAATATAAGTCAGAGTTCTCTAAGAAAAAGATGAAAACCTGAAGTAGACAAATCAATGATTATACTCTTAAAAATTAAGGTGACTAACTTATTAAGTTTGTCTTTTTAAAGTCACAACAAAGTTTTGCATATTTGTTAGACTTATCTATATGCCTGTGTCATGCATGCATTAATATACCCAAGGAATGCTTCTTTAATTGTCTCCAAGGCAATTACATTAAGTGACTTAGAAATTACAAAGATAGGCTTGCCCAGTACTGGGATCAAATAAGAACCACACCATGAGGTTGAGACAGGTAAGTGCCATAGGGTGATATGATCTTACCATGACAGTTCAAGGGAACTGTCTTCCATAATTTGCATAATTTAACTTCTTTGAACTTCACTTTTCTCGTTGGAAACTTGAGATAGCAGTAATTCCTAACATGTAGGGCTATGATGTGTATAAAATGAGATGGCTTTGTGAGCTGAAAGGTGGATCTTATTAGGCTTGAGTTGTGTTATAACAAGAGAGACAACTCTAGAGACTTGTAGAGAAGCAGCTAGACATAAAGCTGAGGATGAGGTAGATGTGGGCTGAGGGTCCCAGTGAGAACATAAGTTCTCTGATGTCAGAAATTGAGTTTGTTTTTTTCTCTCTAATGACACAACCTCCTCCGTTCCTATCCAATAGCACTCTGTGCAGGACAATCCCTATGAAAAATTCAACACTGGTTGGCTGATGATTGAACGAATTAAATGTGAAAGACATGAACTTGGATGTGTCTCCCCTATTTTGGGTCCCAGCCTCCATATTTATTACATAAGTGTTGAACTGGGTTGATGCAAACTTTTTATAATCCATGGTGTTTAAAAATGTTTCTCCCAATGGGGACTTCCCATTTTAAAAGATTGTGGCAACCAATGTCATTTAAAAAGATGTTAAATAATTTCTCTTTTATTCTAGTGAAATTCAAATAAATGTGATGCTTTAGTTAGTCTGGGCATCTTATATCCAGAATATGTCCATATTCCTTTTAATTCTTTTAAATATGAGGAATAGCTAGTATTTCTGTAAACTGTCAGGGAACTGGAAATCCATTTAGAAACAAGTTAGCTGGATGACCTCCAAGGTCCCTTCAGCTCTCCTGCTGACCACTGCCCAGTAAATTTTCTTAATCCCAAAGAAGAGATTGTGAAATTAGCATTTGGCATAGGAAAAAGTATTTCTGTTTTTTCTTCCAGGTCACCTTTTGAGAATATTGGGATACACACCTCTAGATCCAAAGAGCTGTGTGGTTGGACAGGGAGGCAGGCACTATCCAGACAGGCCTACCTGGCCTCCACTGCACAGCAGAGTCAGCAAGTGAGGAGAAGGCAGATCTGGGTTCAGATCCCCACCTCGTCCCTCATCAGCTATGTGACCTTCAGTCAACTTAATTAATTTTTCTGACTCTTGACCACCTCATCCACAGAATAGGCACCACAGTATCAACTCCCCCATGGGGCTATTTTGAGGTTTAGAAATATTACACATAGAATGCCAGGCACAGCATGCAACAGAGGAGCTCTGAATCGGGAACTATCCATTTGGAGCCAGCCGGGTAGAAAATGCATCCTGGGAAATTACTCAGAGTCTGAGCTGGGACTGCCCCAGCTACAAGGTCTGCTAAGAGGACCCTGAAGAAAATAAATTGTCTCTGCTTTCTTATCTCTAGGAGCTGCAAGGGAGTTCTGGCATATCCCTTTTGGATTAACAGCCTCTTGGAAATTATAAGAATGCTCTATCCCCTCCCTCGTGCCTCTGGGACCATGAAGACTTGACTGAGATCAAGTCTCTAAACTGGTCTCTGAAGGCCAGGCATAAGCCTGGAGCTGGAGGGGCCTTTTGGACACTTATACCCAAAGCAAGTTTGGGAAGTGTAGTGGCCACAGTGGCCAGTGCCCAGTAAAGTCACATGAGAAAATCAAGGGACTCCCTGGAAATAGGAACGTATTGATGTTGCCTTCTTCAAGGTACTGACTCTCATGCAAGCAGGCAAATAGGGATGTAGGTCCAGGATGAGAAGAGGTCTCATGGGCAGGTGGCCTGTCATGCACAGAAGGTATGACAAAGGGGCCACAGCAAGCCCTGGGCTCTGGCGGCCAGGGGTTTCATCCCAGCAGAACCAGGCACTGGCTGTTCAGTCATGAGCACTGCTTTTCTCTGTCCAATTTGTGAAATCATTTGGATAATCTTTTTTTTTTCATTTTATCATTTCTAATAATGAAACTCTTTTGTAATGATGTAATTCCGAGTTGAAAGACATTGTCATCAAATAAGACCTTAGTTTCCAAAGTCTTACTAAACTTAGAGACACACTGGCTGGATCCCCCCTGCAAGCCCTTCCTGGTCCAACAGCTGCGGTTCTAGAACGGAGTTCTGTTGACACAGCCACTTAACAATAATCAAAATGATAAGAAGCTATTGTACAATTTGACATTTTTGACAACAGGGAAAAAAGGAACAGATGTTAATTCAGATGGAGTTGCTCTTTCAGACATTTAAAACAAGTCATACTAGTATAGAAACGTATGCAAATTGGAATGTAAAAAGAAAAACAGAACATCTTTAGAACTTTTTAATTCTGTGGAAAGAATTCATTTTAAAATATCATTATATTTGAGAGGAAAGACGGCGGAGGAGTGAATGGGAGTCATGCTGACCTCCTCCTCCCAAGACCAAACTGGTATTGCGACTAAATAGTGGAGTAATCACCTGGAAAACAATGGAGCAATAGTGGGAGAGGAGCCTTGGAGCCCCGGACAGTGGATTCAACTCTCACACATCCCAATGGGTGAGAAGTGCGGTGGAGGCTCGAAAGGGTGGGCTGGGTGCCCACGGGCACCAGCACCAGAGGGACATTGAAACAGCCAGTTAGCTCCCCCCAAGAAGAAAGGAGTCTGAATCATAAACAGGGACCTCTAAACTACAGCAGCTAAAACCAGGAAAATACAGACAAAATGCAACCCCGAAAAGCTTAGGGGTGCTCTCTGCCAGAGACAGGTGGCTGGGGATGCAAAGAGACATTTAAAGGGCCAATGCAAAAATTGCAGTGGCAGCCACCCTCCTTGATCTCTGCGTAGAGGCAGCAGCAGAGTGGGCTGGGTAGAGCAGAGCAGCGCACTCTGCTGCTGCCTGGGAAAAAACTGGTGAGGAAAACTTTGTGAAGAGAACTGAGATGGCAGCCGTTGGAGCCCAGGTGTTAACGCACCTCCCACTCTGCAGCTACCATCTCACTCAGGCATAAGGGAATCAATCAACCTGCCTTTTGTATGCTCTGCACACAGCTTGTACACGTGTGAGCTGGGGGGCTAAGTGCAGACTGGCTGGAAGAAATAGAGGATCCCTGGCCAAAGGGGTCACACGGCTACATTGAGAGCCTTGAGGAGAGACTAGAGACGGAGGCATTGGGGAAAGAAGGGGAGGAGGAACCGGGGAGTCCCGACTCCCTCTCCATTCTGTAGACTCCATTCTGGGCAGGCAGGGCGCGCCCCCAAAGAGGGAGAAGCGGGTCGCGCATGAACCAGACTGCCCGCAATTGCAACGCCATCTGCAAAAATAGTGGATCCTTGGCCGAAGGGGTCTCAGAACTGCCCAGAGACCCCAGAGGAAAGACTAGAGACAGAGGTGTTGGGGAAAGAACAGGAGGAGGAACCGGGGAGTCCCGACTCCTTCTCCTTTCCGTAGTCTCCATTGTGTGGGAAGAGGCCACACCCCCAAAGAGCCAAAAGCTGAAAAGCACACAATAGACAGCCTAAAACGACCCGGTGCACATTCGCACACTTGCACCGAGTGGCCGGTGAGAGCTGGCGAGCGTGTGTGTAGACCCGTGAGGGCTGGCAAGGGCTTGTGTGGGCTGGCAAGGCGTCCCACAGGTTGGCACCAATGGGGCCTGCGAGGGAATGCGCAGATCGGCAAGAGCAGGTGTAAATAGACCCGCGTATGCCCGCAAGTGCAGAGTGGTCCGAAGAAATAGTAGATCCCTGGCCGAAGGGGTCACAGACCTGCACAAAGCAGGAGCCAGACACAGACAATAGACTCCTGGAAGGCTCAAACAAATGACCCAAGGTCATATAGGGTCAGCAACTGACATCATCAGAGGCAGGCCCAGAAAGAAAAGGAAAGAAAGAAAAGGAAGGAAGGAAGGAAGGAAGGAAGGAAGGAAGGAAGGAAGGAAGGAAGGAAAGAAAGAAAGAAAGAAAGAAAGAAAGAAAGAAAGAAAGAAAGAAAGAAAGAAAGAAAGAAAGAAAGAAAGAAAAGAAAAGAAAGAAAGAAAGAAGACCTGCCTACTACCATGGAAGTTTAATCCACAAAGTCAGGAAATCTAGATGGCCCAACTGAAGCAGAAGCAAAAATAAATAAATAAATAAATAACTTAATAGACTCTCACAAAAATGGGAAGAAAAAGAAGTTCCCCCCAAAATGAGTGGAAAGGGGACTCCCCACAGAGAGAGCTAAATGAAATAGAGGCAAGGGAACTATCAGATATGGAATTCAAAACAATGGTTCTAAGGAAGCTCAATGAGCTCAGCCAGCTCAAAGAGAACTATGAGAAACTGCAGAGAAACCATCAGGATCTTACAGCAAACTATATCAACCTGGAAAAGGACATAGAAACTATCAAGAAGACACAAGAGGATACAAAGAATACCATTTCTGAATTGAAGAACACAGGAGAAGGAATCAAAAGCAGGCCGGATGAAGCTGAGGATCGAATCGGTGAGATGCAGGATAAGGTAGAAAAAAGCTCCCAGAAAGAACAAGAAATGGAAAAAAGACTCAAAAAGAATGAAGAGGCATTTAGGGAAATGCAGGACAACCCGAAACGCCATAATATCCGCATAATAGGGATACCAGAAGGAGAAGAAGAGGAGCAAGGGATAGAGAACCTCTTCGAAAAAGGAATGATGGAAAATTTCCCCAATTTGAGAAGAGAAAAGGTCTCATGGATCCAGGAGGCACAGAGGGCCCCACTCAAGAGGGACCCAAGGAGGCCCACTCCAAGACACATCATCATTAAAATGGCAACTATCAAAGACAAAGAGAGAATCCTCAAGGCAGCAAGGGAGAAGGAGAAAGTAACATACAAGGGGGCCCCAATACAGCTAGGAGCTGACTTCTCAACAGAAACACTACAAGCCAGAAGGGACTGGCAACAAATATTCCAAGTCATGAAAAGCAAGGGCCTACAGCCAAGGCTGCTCTACCCAGCAAGGCTCTCCATTAAAATAGAAGGGGAAATACGGAGTTTCCCAGACAAAAGAAGGCTAAAAGAATACGTCTCTACCAAACCAGCACTCCAAGATATGCTAAGGGGACTGGTTTAAGAAGATGAAGGAAAAGAGTGAGAAAGAGAAAAACGCAGGTACAAAGAGAAAAAATGAATAGGTTTCTATCAGTAATAACTCTCAATGTAAATGGACTAAATGCCCCAATCAAGAGACACAGGGTAGCTGAATGGATAAGAAAACATGACCCACACATATGCTGCCCACAAGAGACCCACCTCAGAGCAAAAGACCTACACAGATTGAAAGTAAAGGGATGGAAAAAAAATACTCCAAGCAAATGGGCAAGAGAAAAAGGCCGGGGTTGCCATACTTGTATCAGACAAAGTAGATCTCAAAACAAAGGCCATAAAGAGAGACCCAGAGGGGCACTTTATAATACTTACAGGAAGAATCTGTCAAGAAGACATAAACATTGTAAACTTATATGCTCCCAATATAGGAGCACCCAAATATGTAAGGAAAATCTTGGACGACTTCAAAAAAGATATGCACAGCAACACACTGATAGTAGGGGATTTCAACACCACGCCGTCAAAAATGGGCAGATCTTCCAAACAAAACATTAATAAGGATATTGTGGAGCTGAATGACGCACTGAATCAAATAGACTTAACTGACACATATAGAACCTTACATCCCAAAGAAGAAAAATACACATTCTTTTCAAAGGCTCATGGAAGTTTTTCAAAGATAGACCACACGATAGGACACGAAGCAAGCCTCAGCAAATTCAGGAAAATTGAAATAATTCCAGACTTTTTCTCGGACCACAAGGGCTTGAACTGGAACTCAACCTCAAAGAGAAACTTCAAAAACTTGCGAACTCATGGAGACTGAACAGTAGACTATTAAACAATGAATGGGTCAATAATGAGATAAGAGAAGAAATCACAAAATTTCTGGAAACAAATGAAAATGAACAGACAACAGTCCAAAACCTATGGGACACAGCAAAGGCGGTCCTGAGAGGGAAGCTCATAGCAATACAGGCTTACCTAAAAAAGATAGAAACATTTCAAATAAAAGACCTAACACTACAACTTCAAGAATTGGAGAAACAACAACAAATAAATCCCAGAGCGAGTAGAAGCAAGGAAATAGTCAAGATTAGAGCAGAACTGAATGACATAGAGACCAAAAGAACAATTCAGAGGATCAACCAATCCAGAAGCTGGTTCTTTGCAGATGAGATCTGCAAAACTCATCAAGAAAAAAAAGGGAGAGGACCCAAATAAATAATATCAGAAATGAAAGAGGAGAAATAACAACTGATACCACAGAAATACAAAGGATTGTCAGAAACTACTATGAACAATTATAGGCCAAGAAACTCGAAAATCTTGATGAAATGGACAAATTTCTAGAAAAGTATAATCTTCCCACACTGAAGGAGGAAGAAACAGAAAGCTTGAACAGACCGATAACAGCTGGGGAAATTGAAGCAGTCATCAAGAAGCTCCCAGCACACAGAAGCCCAGGGCCGGATGGTTTCACAGGAGAATTTTACAAAACATTTAAGGAAGAGCTAAGCCCTGTCCTTCTCAGACTATTCCAAAAAATCCAAGAGGAGGGAAGACTCCCAGACTCTTTCTATGAGGCCAGCATCACACTAATCCCCAAACCAGATAAAGACCCTACAAAGAAAGAAAACTACGGGCCACTTTCGCTGATGAACATAGATGCTAAAATCCTCAACAAAATATTGGCAAACTGCATCCAGCAATACATTAAAAAGATTATCCACCACGATCAAGTGGGACTCATCCCAGGCATGCAGGGATGGTTCAATATACGCAAGTCAATAAACGTAATTCATCACATAAATAAAAGACAAGACAAAAACCACATGATCATCTCGATAGATGCAGAGAAAGCATTTGGTAAGGTACAGCACCCATTTATGATCAAAACACTCACCAAAATGGGAAAAAATGGGGCATTCCTCAACGTAATAAAGGCCATATATGAAAAACCTACAGCCAACATCATACTCAACGGGCAAAAACTAAAAGCTTTCCCACTAAGATCGGGGAACACGACAAGGATGCCCGCTCTCACCGCTTCTTTTCAACATCGTATTGGAAGTCCTAGCCACAGCGGTCAGACAAGAGAAAGAGATAAAAGGCATCCAAATAGGAAAGGAGGAAGTAAAACTATCATTGTTTGCAGATGACATGATAGTGTACATAGAGAACCCTGTAGACTCTACCAAAAAAACTCCTCAACCTAATAAGTGAATTTGGCAAAACAGCGGGATACAAAGTCAATATTCAGAAATCAAAGGCATTTTTGTACACCAGCAATGAAATAGAAGAAGAAGAAATCAGAAAAAAATACCATTCGATATAGCAACAAGAAAAATAAAGTACCTAGGAATAAATTTAACCAAAGAGGTAAAAGACCTGTACGCAGAAAACTATACAACATTGAAGAAAGAAATTAAGGAAGACACAAGTAAATGGAAGCATATACCGTGCTCATGGATTGGAAGAATTAATATCCTCAAAACGTCCATACTACCCAAAGCAATTTATAGATTCAACGCAATCCCTATTTAAGATACCAATGACATATTTCACAGAAATAGAACAGACATTTCAAAAATTTATATGGAACTATATACGACCCCGAATAGCCACAGCAATTTTGAGAAAGAAACACAAAGTAGGAGGGATCACAATACCGGACATCAAACTATACTACGAAGCCACTATACTCAAAACAATCTGGTACTGGCACAAGAACAGACCCATAGACCAGTGGAACAGAATAGAAAGCCCAGAAATAAGCCCAGGTCTCTATGGGCATCTAATATTTGACAAAGGGGGCAGAAGCATAAAATGGAGCAATAATAGTCTCTTCAACAAATGGTGTTGGGAGAGCTGGATCATCAGCTAACACCATACACAAAAATAAACTCAAGATGGATGAAAGACTTAAATATAGTCGCAACACCATAAAAGTCCTAGAGGAGAACATTGGCAGGAAACTCTCAGATATCCCACACAGCAATTTTTTCACCGATATGTCTCCTAAAGCAAGGGACATGAAGGGAAGAATAGACAAGTGGGACCTCATCAAAATAAGAAGCTTCTGCACGGCTAAAGAAAACATCAGCAAAATGAAAAGGGAGCCAACCGTATGGGAAAATATATTTGCTAATGATACATCCGATAGAGGTTTGATCTCCGAGATATATAAAGAACTCACTCGACTCCACTCCAAGAAGACAAACGACCCAATCAAAAAATGGGCAAAGGACCTGGGCAGACGCTTTTCCAAGGAGGAGATACAGAGGGCCCAGAGACATTTGAAAGGATGCTCAGCATCACTAGCCATCAGAGAAATGCAGATCAAAACCACCATGAGGTACCACCTCACACCGGTCAGAATGGCCATCATAAACAGATCCACAAACAACAGGTGCTGGCGAGGCTGTGGACAAAAGGGAACCCTAGTACACTGTTGGTGGGAATGCAGACTGGCGCGGCCACTGGGGAAAGCAGTGTGGCATTTCCTCAAAAAGCTGAAAATGGAACTGCCTTTTGATCCAGTGGTTCCCCTGCTGGGACTATACCCTAAGAATCCCAAAACGCCAATTCGGAAGAACCTATGCACCTCAATGTTCATAGCAGCACAATTTACAATAGCCGAGTGTTGGAAGCAACCTAAATGCCCATCAGTAGACGATTGGATCAAAAAATATGGTACATTTACACAATGGACTACTACGCAGCAGAAAGAAGAAAAGAACTACTAAACTTTGCGACAGCCTGGATGGAACTCGAGAGCATTATGCTAAGCGAAATAAGACAGAGGGCGAAAGACAAATACCATGTGATCTCACCTATAAGTGGAGCCTAACCAACAATACAAAGATGCAAGGAAAATAAGACCAGCAACACTGAAAGGAAAAGAAACCAGCAGAGACAAGGGGGAAGGAGCGGGGAGGGCCGGGTGGGGGGGGACGGAAGGGAAGGGGAAAGTCAAGGAACATATAGCAAGGACTCATGGACAAAACCAAAGGGGAAGAGTTGAGGGAGGGAGAGTGGGAGGGGACATGGGAAAGTGGTGGGGGGTAGGCAGAGACAAATGTATTTGAAAAAATAAATAAATAAATTTTTAAAAAATTAAAAAAATTTGAAGAAAACCCATCATTATATTTACCTGTCCTTTAAAAATATTCTCATAGCTTATGTAATGACAAGTCTGGCATAGACCTCTGCTGAGCCAGACATTACTTAGAGAGGTTCAGGGCCATGGAGAGGTCCCAGGGTACCCAAGGGGCTCAGGGTAGCTGCTGTTTACCAACCAATTAGGGTACATTTCGCTGTTTGAATAATGGAACAGCTGTACGCGTGCGAACCGCCCACACATCAGCCCTGTGCTCTGCGACTCAGTGTTGGAATGAGGAACACTTATGCAGGAAGGAAGGTTGGAAAACACTTACAAAGCTCACAACTTTTACATGTAATTCTTCATAGGTTATGGAATTTTCATTGTCCAGGCCAGATGTGTCTGTTACCTTTACTTGAATTGTTCCAGGGAATACCTTTCCTGAAATTCAAGAAGAATCTTTCTGTAATGTTTAATGTAGAGAGGGTCATTTTCATTTTGTTTAAACCATACTTTCAAAACATTATAAACATTATATGATGATACTACAGGAAACCTGGAAATATAATAAATGTTACCTCAAATCCTACTCCTCCTAACACAACTGTTTTCATTTCGGTATAAGGTATCCCTTGCTTTTCAAAAGTTCACTTTATGCCTCTTCACTTTCATAAAGGACCTACTGTAGGACCTGTTTTCACCAACCAACAGAAATCTTACGAGGATTTTTGCTCTTATAAAAAAAAGCTGAACATTGAAAATTGCGTTCGGCATTTGTTCTGCCGCGAGCTGCTCTAGAGGCAGCACACACCCTGAGCAGCCAGTGCGCCTGGCCAGCTCCAGCACGTGGCACCGCGGCATCAAGCCGCCCCGGCTTTGAACTGTGTCTGTGAGCAGCTGTGCTTTATTTTGACTTATTTTGTGCATCCGTTAGCAAGATGTGTCCAAAAGCAATTGCTTCTTCTTTTTACACCACTTTGGTTTACAAATGGTTTCATTGCAATGCTCTACCTTTAGATAGATGGGGGAACCTGTATTTCTCCCAGCTCCTTTTTTCCCTATGCATGGTTTATATCATTATAATTTCAAGTTTATATCATGAATCTTCTTTACTTATTATTAAATAATAAGCATCTTTCCAAATCATTACCTGGTCTTTATGACTATTATTTTTTTACAACTGCATAGTATCCTATGAAATCTATGTTCCCTTCATTGATGTAGTTGTTTTTTGTTTTTAGCATTTTTAATTATTTAAGAGAAGAACAAAGGTTGCAATGAACGTCTCCATGCCCAACACTTTCTATACTTGTGGTCATTTACTTAGAGAGGATCCCCAGAAATGAGATTATTAGGACTAAAAATAAGAACATCCTTTTGGCTTTTGAAATATCTCTAATCCCTTTGGTCAATACTATGCATTTGTTTTCTGTACAGTTGATCTGCTCTGGCAAGGGGGATATTTCTCATTCATGAAACAGATAAAAATTTATTACACAGGAAACAGCCTTGGACCTTCATAGCACATAGCTGATCTAACCAAAAAAAGTGTTATGTCAAGTTTATGGAGATTTGCTCCTGAAGTCCATTTCTATGACTGAGAGGCTCCTACGTCTCTAAAAATGGGGTTTGCTGTTATGGAACAAGCAAATCCTATGACAGAGAACTGACCAAAGCCAGAAGAGCAGGCTCCCAGGCTTGTCTGATTGTGCGGTCTCAGGCATGTCACCCTCTTCTGCCCCAGCGTCCCCATGTAACAGCGCTTCTTTGTGCAGTCTTTGTGTACTTTACAGGGCCTATCATTCTCATTTTGTTCTCACGGCACCATTCCCTTGAGCAGGCCTTCATGTTTAGGAGGGACCTTCATGTTTAGCCCACACACCCCACTCGGTTCATTCCCACTCACACTTGGTTCCACTGAGACAAAGGCAGGAGCCGTTGTCTTACTTTGCTGGCCTTCATTGCCTCCAAATGTCTGCCTCTCTCTAGTATCCCAGAAGCTCTTTTTGCCATTAGTTTAAGTATTCTGTTACACTTTAGGTATGAGATGCAGCTCTGCATGGTTCATCCTTTGTAACTCACCTTTATTGCATTTGGTATTCTTATAGTAATATCCATCTATACACAGGCAAAAATGTGATGTATGCAGATTAATGCATGAAGAGCCACCACCACAGGAATTGGTTTGGCAAGGACCTGAGATGGAGTAGAAAGAGATGAAAAGTTCACAGAACAGCAAACAACATCCAGAAACATACTTTTGAATTCTCATGCCTACCTCCTAAGCACTTTCTAGTCTTTGGTTGTATTATTTCAGGGCATACCCTTAGAAGAGGTAGAAACAAGTACATATTTTCTTATGTATCTAGGGAGTTTGTTGCTGAAATTCTGGAACAAGTGCTTGTCTACAGTAAAGGTCAGAGGTTGGTGGGCAGGGTGTGTTCAGAGTAGTCTTCTAATCCAAGGAGTCCGGAGGTTTTGGACCTCAAGGACCTTCTAGAACCCTGACGTTTGATCCTCTAACATTAGATAGGGCTCCCCAAAACTGTTTTATAGAAAGTATCATATTTTTAAGGAAGGCATATAGACCTGACTTATAGGGAGGAACAGGCAGGAAGTTCCTAAAAGAAACTAGATGTTATAGTCTAGTTAACACACATGGTATAAATATCCATAATGAAAGGAAAGGGATGTTAAGGGGAGTATGTGGATTAAGTCAATGAAAATTGTAAGAGTAATTGATGAAATGACATTCCACTGTCTGGCTTTCTGAGTGGATGACTTGAATAAACGGTTAGAATAATATTGTAATTGTTCCTACACCACTGGCTGGCACTCACAGACCAGGAAGGGCGTAGTGTCTTTTCTGTCTCCAGAGGTCAGATGGGATTCAAAGAGGAAAGTTAGGTCAGTAGCCAAATGGTGATCCTGGCTGGCCATTTCCTTCATCTCTTTCAAATGAAATGATTCTGATCTTAGATTTCTGAATAAACTAAGTGTCTCACAACCTTCAGAGCTATCTGAATGCTTATGAACCTATAGGTAGAACTAGAATAAAAAAAAAAAACCTACCTATAAGATACAATGTGTATAACATTCTCTTTTTGTGATTAAGAAAGGGGAACACACAAAAACAGAAATATATATATTTATATTTGTGTAGATTATTTATGGAGAGAGACACAAGAAACTGGCCACAGAACTGGCTTCTGGGGACAGAAACTGGAAATTTGGGTCCTAGAGATTTAGGATGGGAGGCAGATTTAGGTTTTACTGCATCTATTTTTTACCCTGGTTAAGCTCCCCCTCCATAACTATGGGCTTAATTTATTTTTATTTAAAAATATAAAATAAAATAGGGCTGATGAGAATGTGGAGCAGCACTGTTCTTGGGAATGCAAAATGGTGCAGACACTTTGGAAGACATTTTGGGGATTTCTTATAAAACTAAACATATTCTTACCATGTGATCTAGCATGCAAACTCCTTGGCATTTACCCAAAGGAGTTAAAGACTTATGTCCACTCAAAAACCTACACACCCATACTTGTAGCAGCTTTATTCATAATTGCCAAAACTTGGAAGCAACTAAGATGCCCTTCAGTAAGTAAATGGATAAACAAACTGTGTTACATCCAGAATGTGGACCATTATTCAGAGATAAAAAAGAAAACGAAAAAGAAAAAGAAATGAGCTTTTCAGCACTAAATTATAATCAAACCATGAAAAGACATGAAGGAAATGTAAATGCATATTACTAAATCAAAGAAGTCAATCTGAAAAGACCACATACTGTATGATTCCAACGACATGATATTCTGGGAAGGGCAAAACTATAAGCAGTTAAAATAGCGGTGGTTGCCGGGGTTGGAGGGACAGAGGGAAGAGTAAGTGGAGCATAGAAGATTTTTAGGGCAGTGAAAATAACCTACGTGATACTGTGATGATGGGATATGCATTTTTCAAAACTCATAGAATGTACAAACACCACCAGTGAATCCTAATATAAACTGTGGGCTGTGGGTGATTATGTTGTGTCAATGTAGGTTCATCGATAATAACAAATGTACCCTCTGTTTGGGATATTGATAATGGGGGAGGTTATGCATATGTGGCATTTGGGGTATATGGGAAATCTCTGTACCCTCCTTTCAATTTTGCTGTGACTCTAAAACTTCTCTAAAAAGTGAAGTCTATTTTTAAAATTTCTTTTAAAGAGTTTTAAAAAAATTCTTCATGGGACAAAAGGAAGCATAGTACAGTAGTATCTCATAAACAGCAGTAAGGGTCACTGTTTATGAGATACTACTCTGATATTGGCTCTGATAAGACATGAGCCAATATCCTAAGTGAAATAAATGGCTTTAAAAAAAAAAAAAAGCCTCAGTCACATTGCAAAGATGATTTGGGAAACCTAGGTAAGAAACTGAGCAAAGCTCCACTTTGGACCCACCAGACAAATAACTGCTGGAATGCTTTCTTTCCTGAAATGAAGGGCAGCCTTGGCTTGTTTGGTGGACCAGGAATGAAGTCACTGGATGTTACAGCTGGGAGGTTTTGGTGGCTATTTATTTTAGCCACACCATTGTACAGATGAGGAAGTTGAAGCCCAGAGAAAAGTGGCTCGCCCCATTCCCCACAGTCAGTAATGGGACCAGAGCACAGTGAAGGTCTGGGGAAGCAGAAATGGCTTGGAAGAGCTCCCTTCCCTGGCGCTAGGAGAGCTGGCTGTGTAGCTGTGATCCACTTGTCCCAGCCTTCAGGTTGGCCCCTCCAAATATGAAAGGCTGTGAACAAGGTCTTAGATACAGGCTCTGGATCCATTTGCTTAATTATCCATTTTTTAGATCTATCTCAGAACATTGGGGAAGACAAACGATCTAAGGGTATGAAAACTAAACTTACTTGCTCTTTGACCTTGGGCAAGTTGCTGCTCTCTCTAGGCCTCTGTTTCCCTATGTGAGAAAAAAAGGGTTGATCTAGGCCCTTCAAGCCTAGGTTTGAGGGTTTTTTGTTTTTTGTTTTTTTTTTTTTTTGACTAGGGGTTGGCAAACTACAACTTACGAGCCAAATCTGGCCAAGCTTCTGTTTTTTTTTTAAATAAATTAAGTTATATTGGTACACAGCCAGGCTCATTAATTTACATATCGACTGTATCTGCTTTTATGGCAAAATTGCAGAGTAGAGTAGTTTCAAGAGAGACGCTAGGTTGTGGCCCACAAAACCTAAAATATTTACTAGTTCGCCTTAATCAGTAGTTTGCTGACCCCTATTCTAGACCAAGCTTTGAGTCAAGTAGTTTCTGTTTCAATAACTTTGGCTCAAGATCAACTCTTAGACAGCATTCCCAGAACATCTGTCCTTTGGACAATGACCCTGGTCATGTCCAGGACTGTTTGAGCACTGCTGTTGTTTGGCTTTTTATCCCTCAGGCTCAAACTCCACAAATAAGCTCAAAATCCCAATTATGATCAGCCACTACCATAACTTGTTCTATTTTTCAATAACATCTGATAAGCAGTCAGGGTAGAGTTGACTCTTTCTTTAGGTAAAGGAGCTAGACCAGTGGGGCTGAAGAGCTGGTGCTTATTTGGACCTCACCTTCACAGAGAAACTGATGTTATTTCCAAAAACCTCCTAGGAGAGAGCAGCTAGAGAAATAGCTTTTATAAAGTCCGAGTTCATAAAAATATTTCACATTGGGAAAATAGCTTGAGGTAGGATGGTTAGTAAGCAAAGGAGAACAGAATGGAACTGTGGGTAACTTTTTAGGGTCTCTGCCAACACTGCCAGCTTTTCTTACTTAGATTTTTTAATTCTAAGGGTTCATATCCAAGAAACCTCGAGCGTCTTTATACCCACTTCCTTATTCCAGCAGAACATATTTGCCTACTACCCTCCACAAAACTGACTCCTCAGTAAGGCATCTTTGAGGGAGTCACTCTTACCTTTAGTATTAGGGTTTGGATCGCTAGTTGTCGGGGAAGCAGGTGCAGGCGTTGTGGCGGGAGTAGCTGCAGGAGTCGTCGGGGAAGCAGGTGCAGGCGTTGTGGCGGGAGTAGCTGCAGGAGTCGTCGGGGAAGCAGGTGCAGGCGTTGTGGCGGGAGTAGCTGCAGGAGTCGTCGGGGAAGCAGGTGCAGGCGTTGTGGCGGGAGTAGCTGCAGGAGTCGTCGGGGAAGCAGGTGCAGGCGTTGTGGCGGGAGTAGCTGCAGGAGTCGTCGGGGAAGCAGGTGCAGGCGTTGTGGCGGGAGTAGCTGCAGGAGTCGTCGGGGAAGCAGGTGCAGGCGTTGTGGCGGGAGTAGCTGCAGGAGTCGTCGGGGGAAGCAGGTGCAGGCGTTGTGGCGGGAGTAGCTGCAGGAGTCGTCGGGGAAGCAGGTGTAGGCGTTGTGGCGGGAGTAGCTGCAGGAGTCGTCGGGGAAGCAGGTGTAGGCGTTGTGGCGGGAGTAGCTGCAGGAGTCGTCGGGGAAGCAGGTGCAGGCGTTGTGGTGGGAGTAGCTGCAGGAGTCGTCGGGGTAGCAGGTGCAGGCGTTGTGGCGTGTGTAGCTGCAGGAGCTGTGGATGAAGAAGTAATAGGCATAAGGAACAAAGGTACCAAGTTTCAGAAGACAGAACATTAAATATATAACAGTAATTGTTATTATTTAATACAAGAGTTATCCCTTGAAAAATGCAGGTCTGAACTGCATGAGTTCACTTACAATCTGATTTTAAGAATGAAACCTGTGTTGTTCAAGGGTCAGCTGTAATTAGTATCCAATCAATTCTTTTCAGAAAAATAAATGCAGTAAGTCTTCAAATGACATTGTTCTCTTTCAACATCTTTTTTGCTATAACTCTGATGAGATGATGTAGGAACTTAACTCTTGTTTGTACCAATTAACCTATGGTAGAATTGGTTGCATTATACATCATTTCACTGTAAGTTGTAGAACCTATCTACAATGTTAGATGAGGACTTACTGTTTGGTTGACCACATTAAAAACAAAAAGACATGACTACTTCCAAAAATACACACAGAAAAACCCCACAATAAATCAAATAAAAATTTTAATAGACAAAACTGGAAAAATGTTATTAAAAATATGACAAAGAGTTCATGAGTACCAAGAAGTAATATCATTTATGTCTGTAGTTGCAGAATCATCAATCTGGGTTTAATATTCCGCAGAGTAGTCCTCAGAGGGACAATTAAAAATGTCACCAGGTGGCGCTGTTACAACCTTGAAGTAAACTCCTTTGTCTTACAGTTTAACACAATTGCCAGAATTTTCCATGATGTGGTATTTTAGCCATTGAAAGGTATGAGGGAGGGTAGGAAAAGGGCATGTTTAAAGAATGATGAAATAAAAAACAAACTTCATTGTTATTAAACTTCTTCCAAAAATATTTTTCTAGTAATATTTAACTATTAATAATTCCAGACACATGAGCTTTTTAAAAGAGTAGAATGCATAGAGATGGGTTTTGCCCTAAGGGCTATGGTGATCATCAAAGTTGCCTTTTTCTTAGATTCTTAAGAGCCCCTGGACATATGGGGTAGTAAACACTTAGTGATTTAGTGATCAGTTTCCTAGAACCCTTATTGTCATTAAGAACTCTGACATTGACAATCAGTTAAAAAAAATTATTAAAAGTGAGAAAGCAGTTTCTAAACATCTGAATATAGAAAAGTGATGACGAGGCTACTTGATTCCTCCATGGGTCTGTAAGTCCCTGGCTCTTCACGTAAACAGGGTCTCGCTTAAATAGTCATTCCTAAGAGATAAGCAATTGCTCTTGCAGGGGCAAGAAAATAATCCAGACTTCTGGTCAAGATGGTGGCATAGGTAAACACAGCTTGCCTTCTTGCACAACCACATAAAATTACAACTAAACTATAGAACCATCAGAAATTGAGCTGAATGGAAGTCCTAAAACTACAGAAGTAAAGAACAAACTACATTGAGACTGGTAGGAGGTCAGAGACATGGTACAAGCTGGTCCCGCACCCATGTGCAGCAGATAAAAATTAGGAGGGATATTTCAGGGTTTCAGTGCTAGGAAGATAAGTCTCCATAGCTTCTGTCTGTAAAACCCAGCGGGGATTGAGGCTGTGGAAGACAGATACTGCTGGACTCCCTGGAAGTTCCTTTTAAAGGGCCCACACAGACTTGCTCAGACTCACTCCCTCTGAGCTCCAGCCTGAGCTCACTCCCTCTGAGCTCCAGCCTGGAGGCAGCTTGAAAGGCACCAGAGACATAAGGGGGGAACTGAATTGTCTGGTACCAGGGCAGAGATGGAGGGCAGCTTTCTCCCAGACAGAAGTACTGGCAAAGGCCTTTGTTTCTTTTCTGAGTCCTCCTCCAACAGAGCCACAGAGCCAGCAGGCGGGCACCATATCTGAGATTATATCCAAAGAGGGGAAAATTGGGACAACTGTAATAGCATACCCAATAAATATAATATAAAATATTTTTAAAAAAGAAAATAGTCCACCAGCCAGTCATTTTTGACTGCTGCTACTCCTATTCCTACTATTCTCATTTATCAAGGGCTTACCCTGTGCCTGGCAGGACCTGGGACATGGATATGAGAGACACATTTAATAGAAGACTGAAACAATACTCAGAGGGATTAAGAGATATATCTGGGGGAAAATCTTTAATTCCCACATGCAAGGGGGTAAAAAACTCTGATGGCAGAAGCAGAGGTTAAACCAGTTACCTGCATAGCATTAGGGCCAAAATGACATTTCACGGTCAAAGAGAAGGCCACTGGGCCCTTGGAACCTACCAAGTCGCTCTTCTCTGGCCTCAGGAACTCTTAAGGACAAATCTCTGGCTTGCTGAACCCCAAATCTTAGTTCAGAGGCCTCCTTACTACTGCTCTATCCTCCGTCACAGACTGTTACGCTTGTGTCTTTGAGCCAAGTTGGAGAGGAAATTTCATCCACAAAGTCGTCCATCTGTTGGGCTGCGGGAACTAGTAGCTAAAGCCTGTTGATTCTGCCTCAAAGACAACAAACATGGTTAAAAGAATTTAACATTTTTAAATGTTCCTTACCTAAAGTTACAAAAAGGAGGGCGAGAAGAGTGAGGTGAGTGAAGGCTTGCATTTTAGATCTTCTTGCTAGGTAATCCAAGGAGGAAATGGTTTCCCACTCAACTATCTTTAGTTTTAACTCTCTTTCGGGTACAAAGTCCAGTCATTAACTGACGTCAAATCAGCCAAAAGCAATTACTTCTCAGGGCCAGTCATATACCCCAGGTCTCAGTTGAGTTTTTGAGATAGAAGAGATAAACCCGGCCTTATGAACGTTTTCTGACTCATAGTCCAAAATAACTCAGGAGAGTTCAAACATCCTTGAGAGGTGGCAGTTAATCTCTATATAGCTCAAATGTCCCCAAAGTACCACCTTTTAGGAGGTCACCATTTCTTTAACATCTGTGCTATTGTCTGTGCTTCAGTCACTCCCTGGTGAGTGCAGAAAATCCACTTTCTTTCACCCTTAGTTTTGAGAATCCCTGAGGAGTACTTACATGTTTCCTCTGACTGTTTGTTGCTTAGCTTTTGTCACATTTCGCTGTGGATCCCTACTCTGGGCCTCCTTGATGGTCACATCCAGCAACTTTGTCTCCAAGCTCCCACACTCTCCAGAGGTCACACTACCTGTATACAGCACCCCCACCCCCCCGCCTTAATGTCCCAAACACAGTTAATATCAAATTGTGACATTTAACCTAAGTTTACTGTAGGCTTATGGGTGACAGGTCAAGGAGTGGGAAATAGAATGTAGAAGAGGGAAAAATTTAGAACAGATGACTCCATCTCTTCATTCCTGGTTGTTCACTGTTCGTGTAGCTGCCTCCCAGTTCCTCTACTTACCTGCTATTCCTCAGCTCCTGACCTCTCACCCCATTTCAGGAACCAGCTTTATTAATTGGATGAGGGTCTTCTCAATCCAGTCCTCCCTCTTTAAAACCCAGGACTCCAACTCCCCCTGGGTGTAGCCCTAGCCTGAGGAACAAAACCAATTAACATCTTGTGAATATTAGCCAGAGTTTTAACCCTGACCTTAGTAAAAGCAAAAATTTTCGTATTATTGCATAGCACGTTAGTTTCTTGTTATCTTAAAAGTCTCCATTCAGCAATGGGATTTGGGGTTGGCTTATAAAGCTAAGAGGCCCATTTACATAATTTCCCCAAGAAAGACACCTCTCAGGCCCATGTTTTGTGCTGTTATTCTTAACTTGAATGATTCCTGGCATGAGGAGTTAAACAAAAACCTTTTAAACAGCAAAACTTTTTTTCTTTTAAGAATCACTCTATTGAGGTACGTATAATTTGCATCAATAAACAAATCCATTTAAAGTGTTAAATTCCATGAGTTTTGATAGGTGTATATAGATATGAATCCAACATTGCAATCAAGATACAGAACATATCTATTGCACCCTGAAGTTTCTCTCGCCCCTTCACAGTTTATTCCTCCTTCTACTCCCAACTCCAGGCAACCACTGATCTGTTTTTGTCTCTAGAAAGCACTTGGCTTTTTCTAGAATTGTATAAAATGGAGTATTACTGTATGTCTGGCATCTCCTCAACACAATAATTTTGAAATTCTTGTACATTACTGTATGTATCAGCCCTTCCTTCCTTTCTGCCTTCCTGTGTTTCTTCTCTTCTTTCTTTTCCAATATTATTGACATATATTTTATATATAGTAAATTGCATATACTATTTAAAGTCTTGACATATGCATACAGCCATGAAATTATCACTGTAATTGAAATATCAAACTTTCTTATAATCCCCAAAGGCTTTCTTATGCCCATCCTTCCCCACTCCCCCAGTCGGACGTAACCACTGATTGGTTTCTGTCATTATAGATTAGTTTGCATTTTCTAGAGTTTTATATAAATGTGATTGTACAGATGTACTGGGTTTTGAAGTCTTTACTTTTTGATTTGGCTTTTTTCACTCAGCATAATTATTGGAAGAGTCATTCATGTTGTACATATTAATAGTTTTTTCTTATTTCTGAATAGTAATAATAGATATGCTGGATATACCATAGTTTATTTATTCATCGGTTGGTGGACATTTGAATCATTTCCAGTTTTTGACTATTACAAATAAAGGTGTTATGAGTAATCATGTACACATCTTTGTGTGGATATATGCTTTCATTTCTCTTGGGTAAATACTTAGGAGTGAAATGGCTTCATCATATTGTAGGAATATATTTAACTTTTAATAAATTGTCAAACTGTTTTCCATAGTTGTACCATTTTACATTCCCATCAGCAACATGAGTTTCAGTCGCTACCCACCATTGCCACCACTCGGTTATTGTTATCTTTCCATATTAACCATTCCAAAGGGTGCATAGCGGTATCTCACATTGGTTATAATTTGCATCTCCTGATTACAAATGACACTGAGCATCTTTTTTTTTTTTTTTTTTTTTTTTGCACTGGGATAACTTTTATTTTTTTATTTAATCTTTATTGTATTTCTTTCCATTACCATTTAGTCTCCTTATACCTCCCTCCCCTGAGCATCTTTTCATGTGTTTATTAGTTACTGCTATCTCTTCTTTTGTAAAATATTTTTTTCAAATTATTTGCCCATTTTTTTTGGTTGAGTTGTATATTGTCTTATTTTTGAATTGCAAGAGCTCTTTATACATGTTTTAAAAAGATAGTCTCCCTTTGCCATTTTTACATGGCATTTCAAATTACTATATTCACTTTATAAAAGACTAACCAGGAATCTAGGAAAATTTAAAAGTGGCCTGAGGTCACAAAATTAACTGCTCAGTCTCAGATTCAGGGTCTCAAATTCTGTCTCCCAAATCAGGAATAGCTCACTGCTCTATCTTGTCTTGGGTTCAAGATAGTAAGAAAGTAGGACCCACAGAGCTAATGTCTGCTAATGCCATTATATTACAACAGTGTCAATATTTACCCTGGTTTTCTATATCACTTCTCTGCTGACCATAAAATGCAAAGTGACCAGGAAGGGATGGAGGCCTGCTAAACACCTGCCTTCCTTACTCATCCCCAGCCTTACCTGGGAAAACATAGTCAATGCCTGAGAAAGCCAGGCAGTCCTGATAAGAGCCAGCAATCATCTTTTTTATGCCCCCTGTCACGCAAACCACATCAGGTTGCAACACCCCAGAATTATAGACACAGGTACACAGGGCTTCTCATTAAGGGAAGTGCTTCTCCTTTGCCACTACTGTTTCTTTCCATGTGGAAGGGGCTCAATGTGTGCCATGCTCCTGGTCTCTGGGCATGCCTTTATTCGCTCTTCCCGAAGTTGAGATGCAGTGAGTTATTTCAGAAGAATAAACTGGGAATGCTCACCTCAAATCCTGCCTTTTGCCTCCTGCAAGAGAACCTAAATTTTCACAACTGTTGTACCTGGGAGGAAAAGGTGTCAGCATTAAGAAGCCCTAAGTCACATTCTCCAAAATCAGAGATATTTTGTGTCCAGTTATCATATTCTTTGTTTTATTTGTCACATGACTCAAAACCTGGGTGAGGAAAAAGGATATTTATTAGCATGGCTATATTCTAGTTATGTATCCATAAATCATGAACACAGACTCCATCTTTCCATAGAAACAATCTTATGCACTACAAGGAAACATGGGCAAATTAATGCGTTTGATTTGTTGGGAGGCAGTATTGTGGTGGAGCTCTCTTGCGAGTTTTTCTCTTATACAAATGATGTCAGAAACTCAAAAGAGGTTTAAATGCTGACATGTGGACTTTTAATTACCGGAGATGTGTTCCATTTAAAAAGAGTAGGAATAGGGTTTTAGAGTCTTGGCTTGTAAAACCACACAATCCCTTATCTATTCATTCCACTGAGTTTAGTCACCTGTAAAAAAAAATTTATCTTCATCATCTATCTTCTGGAATCAACAGGCTTTGGAGAAGTTATATGAATGGGCCTTTTCCCAGGAAGTAGTTTGACTTCTCACCTACTTCCTCCTCCACTCCCGGAGTGGGATTAAGGGAAGGTTTGACCAAGGTCAGAGCTCTCCTTAGGCAGCTACCAGTTGTAACTCAGGTTTCCTCCTAGAGGAAGTGAATGGTTACAGAGAGTGTAACTACCCTCAGGGATGTTAATGGTCGGCCTGGGTTGGTTGCTCTTTAAGAGGAAAATTGTCAACAGATGGAAGCAGGTTGCCCCTGTTTGGGGTTTGCAATTGTTTTTGCTTTGCACCTGTCAGCCTTCCCCAGACCAGTTATTCCTAAGTGAGAGATGATGCGATGAGGGCAACGGCTCTAGGACTGTGTTCCCCAGGCCAATGGCACCGGCATGACTTTTTGCAAGTGCACATTTCAAGCCCTAGCCTAGACCTACTGAGTCAGCGGTCTGTTTTAACAAGACTCCCTGTAACTCTGATACATACTTATGGCACAAAAGATTTCAAGCGCTCCATGGACACAGCGTTAGAGAACATGGACTCACTTAGAAGGGGAAAATAACTGCCTTTCAAATTTATTTTAATCATTCTGATTATACCAGGAGAAACATCTCATTTACTGCTAGCATATCTTTAACT